CCTCCACCTCCTGGGTTCAGGCAATTCTCCTGCCTCAGCCTCCTGAGTAGCTGGGATTACAGGCACGCGCCACCATGCCCAGCTAATATTTTGTATTTTTAGTAGAGACGGGGTTTCACCATGTTGACCAGGATGGTCTTGATCTCTTGACCTCGTGATCCACCCGCCTCAGCCTCCCAAAGTGCTGAGATTACAGGCTTGAGCCACCGCGCCCGGCCTATTTTTTTTTTAATGCGGTCTCGCTCTGTTGCCCAGGCTGGAGTGCAGTGGCATGATCAAAACTCAATGCAGCCTTGAACTGCTGGGCTCAAGTGAGCCAACCTTAGGCTCTAGAGTAGATGGTACTACAGGCATGCACCACCATGCCCAGCTATCAACTTGTCCTTTTTCAGCACACTCAAGATGTATTAAAACTCTTGACATTTAAAATTACTCTATACAGGCCAGATGCGGTGGCTCGTGCCTGTAATCCCAGCACTTTGGGAGGCCAAAGCAGGCAGATCACTGGATACCAGGAGTTTGAGACGAGCCTGACCACCATAGGGAAATATCTTCTCTACACAAAAATAAAAAATCAGCTTCACATAATAGAGCACACTTGCAATTCCCAGCTTTACTTAGGAGACTGAACAGGGAGAATCGCTTGAGCCTAGGGGTTTGAGGCTGCAGTGAGCCATAATCACGCCCCTGCACTCTAGTCTGGGCAGCAGAGCAAGACCCTATCTCAAAAATAAATAAATAATAAAATAAAATAAAATAGCTCTATATACAAAAGATGAAAAATGCCAGGGGTCACATCTGTTTTACTATCTGTGATTTCCCCAATGTCAACACAGTCAACAGCACTTCAAAAACATTGTTAGATTAATTGAAAGTAAGGACTATGTTTTAGACCAGTGGTTTTCAAACTGTGGTTTACAGACCAGCATCAAGAGTGTTACATGGGTTTTTGACAGAAATGCCAACTGTCATGGTGGCTCACATCTATAATTCCAGCACTCTGGGAGGCTGAGGTGGGAGGATCACTGGATCCCAGAAGTTCGAGACCAGCCTAGGCAACATGGCGAAACCCGTCTCTACAAAAAATACAAAAATTAGCCCGGTGTGATGGTGGGCACCTGTGGTCCCAGCTACTTGGGATGCTACTTGGGAGGCTGAGGTGAAAGGATCGCTTGAGCCTGGGAAGTCAAGGCTGCAGTAAGCTGTGATCATGCCACTGAACTCCAGTTTAGGGACACAGCAAGATCCTGCTCAAAAGAAAAAAGAACTACAAACTCTCATGTCCTGCCCTCAGCTCACTGTATTTTTAGTAGAGATGGGGTTTTGTCACATTGGCTATGCTGGGCTGGTCTTGAACGCTGAACCTCAGGTGATCCACCTACCTTGGCCTCCGAAAGTACTGGGATTACAGGCATGAGCCACCATACCTGGCCAAGAATTCATCTTAAATGTCTCAACCATTCAAACACAACCTAATTAACATTTAACAAAACATGCAAAGCTTTATAATAATCACTCATTCAACTATATTTATGATCTACTAAAAATATTGCATGAGGAAAAGTAGCCTCTATCAATACTTCCTAGCTCATACTAAGCTAATATTTTGCCTTCTCCTCACCTCTCCCGTACATACACTGTTACTCTGTGTGTACATGTTTGAACAAGCAAGGAAAAATCAAGTTAATTAGACACAAAGTCTAAAACATAATCACGTCTAATATATCTGCTGTGGTCTGAATTCTTGTGTCTCCCTAAATTCCTATGTTGGAATCCTAATCCCCAAGGTAACGATATGAGGAGGTGAGGCCTTTGGGAGGTGATTAGATCACAAGTGTAGAGCCCACAGGAATGGGATTAACACGCTCATAAAAGAGGCTCAGAGGCCATGCATGTTGGCTCACGCTTATAATCCCAGCACTTTGGGAGGCTGAAGAGGGCAGATACCTGAGGTTAGGAGTTCAAAACCAGCCTGGCCAACATGGTGAAACCCCATCTCTACTACAACCACAAAAAAATTAGCCAGGCGTGGTGGCATACACCTGTAATTCCAGCTACTCAGGGGGCTGAGGCAGGAGAATTGCTGGAACCTGGGAGGCGGAGGTTGCAGTGAGCCGAGATCATGCTACTACACTCCAACCTGGGTGAAAGAAAGAGACTCCATCTCCAAAAAAATAAAAATAAAAAAGTGGCTCCAGGTCTGGCCCCTGCCACCACGTGTGAAAACAGTGAAAAGATGAATCAGGAAGACCCCTCACGAGACATAGAATCTGGGGAACTGGGCCGGGCGGGGTGGCTCACGCCAGTAATCCCAGCACTTTGGGAGGCCGAGGCGGGTGGATCACGAGGTCAACAGATCGAGACCATCCTGGTCAACATGGTAAAACCCTGTCTCTACTAAAAATACAAAAAATTAGCTGGGCATGGTGGCGCGTGCCTGTAATCCCAGCTACTCAGGAGGCTGAGGCAGGAGAATTGCCTGAACTCAGGAGGCGGAGGTTGCGGTGAGCCAAGATCGCGCCATTACACTCCAGCCTGGGTAACAAGAGCAAAACTCCATATCAAAAAAAAAAAAAAAATCTGGGGAATTGATCTTGGACTTTGAAGCCTGAGAAATAATTTCTGTTGTTGACAACCTACCTAGTTTACGGTATTTTGTTACAATAGATTGAATGGGCTAAAACAATATCTTCCTAGTCTCATTTCCTACTACACATCTTCATTCTTGCATCCTTCCATGCTATATAAGGGTAATACTACTCCCTATAATGCATCCTAATTCCTTCCTACTTTCTTTCTTTTAAAAAAAAAATATCCCTGTGAGAGCATCCTTTCTACTTGCTACTCATTCACAATGAAGCATTCTTCCCCTTCCCAAAATGGTTTATACAAATCCTATTCAAATCCTATTCATCTTTCAGTCCCAGGTATTTAGGATCCCAGGACACTTTGGGATCCTAAATACCTAAAAGGGGAGTTCGTAACTCCTCCCTTTCATAAATTCATTCTCAGTGGAAGGACCCACACTTTCAAAAATCTAGCAATGTGATGTCTTAGGTAGGATGGCTTTTTATTCTGGAGAGTACATCATCATACCTCACCTAATATCATTTTTGCACCAAAATTAAGATTCTCTGCCCAGGCATGATGGTTCATGCCTGTAATTGCAGCACTTTTAGAGGTCAAGGTAGGAGGATGGCTTAAGTCCAGGAGGTCAAGACCAGACTGGGAAACACAGCGAGACTCCATCTCTACATAAAATTTTACAAATTAGCAGGGCACAGTAGCCCGTGCCTGTGGTACCAGCCACTTGTGAGGCTGAGGTGGGAAGATCACTTGAGCCCAGGAGTTCAAGGTTGCAGAGAGCCATGATTATGCCACTGCACTCCAGCCTGGGCCACAGAGCAAGACCGTCTCCAAACAACAATTCCCATACTCACTCTTTCTGTGTGGTCCACTAGTTACCTCAAAATTTCAGTTTAAGTTTATACTAGTCAGGTGGGAAATGAGAATATAAAGTGATTCATTTAAGCACCTAGCTGGCCTAAGCACTTGGAATAAGTAAGGCACGGTTACTACCTAGAACTTACATTCCACAGGGAGAACAGGTTAATATACAATGACAGTGAAGGAGACAGGAAAATTACAGCCTAAAAATGCAGAAGCAAGTTAGGGAAAATTCACAGATTAAATAATTTTATAGTAAATCACTTTTCTAAAAAACAGATGGAGGGGAAAAAAAAACAAACTAGGAAAACATGATTATCAGGACTTAGTTTTGACTAGAATGTCTCATTCCTCCCAGAGACCAAAGTTTAGCTTGTTGCATATGATGAAGCAATGTTTTCAATTAATGTATAGCAAACCACTTATAAGCCAACTCAACGAAAAAAAAACAACTGAAGCCTCAACCTGTTTTCAAACATAAAGAAGAAAATTTGCAAATATAAGGTTCTCCCAACTAAAGGCAGAGAGGGCAAAACAAATGAACTCTTTAGAAGGTTTAAAGAGACTACCACAACCTGCCAAGCTGATTGTCAGTCCTCAAATGCCCTTGGTCTCTGCCTCCAAATGAACATAAATCATTTGTTTTAGCTAATAACAGTCAAGCTTGTAAATAAGTATTTAAAAATTTCCCCAACCGTACCTCCACATTAAAAGATGCTCAAAAAAAAAATTCGAAACAATTTTAAGCTATTTCCGTCAAAAGACTAGCTCTCTCCTAAGGTCACAGTATGCATGCTGGCCCTCACTTCGTGGCTCTAACACACCACCACTCCGGTTTTGCAATGACACCAGGTAATAGGATTCCAAGATCTCTTCAATGCCTCCAAAAACGGAAAGGAAGAAGCGAGCCTACAAATTCCTATCTGTCCGGCCTGCAGCTCCCGGGAAGCAACAGTTCTCAAATTGTTCCTGCTTAGACCCCTGAAGCCCGTAGAAGGAAATAGGGACAGCTGTGAAAGCGAGCCGAGCGAGGACATCCGATAAGGGAAGAGGAAACGTGGATGGGAGAGGACGAAGGGGAGAAGGAACACGGAAGGAGGGGGCAGTGGAGATAAAATGGTGAAGAGGGGTAAGAAGAGCAAAAAAGAGCAGCCAAAAATAGCGAGGAAAGGAGGGAAAGTAAAAATCCCATAAGAGGAAAAAAAGGCAAAATGATAGAGGAGAAAGGAAGGAAGGGTTAGGGTTAAAGGACGAGGAGTGGGCGACAAAGGGAATGCGAAAAAGGCTGTCACTGGGGATGATAAAAAGGATGTCATTGGGGAGAAGGGAGATTCAGGGGGTGTCACCTAAAAGGGGCTCACCCCAGCAGGTGGATGAGGGAGCACCGGGAAGGAGGAGCTGGACACCGAGAGGGAGGTTACGAGGGAGAGAGGTAAAGACAGAGAGGCCGAGAGGATACCAGAGACAGGGAGGGCATTCCTGCAGGGGCTAGCGCGGCAGGCGGGGGCTAGGGTGGCAGGCGGCTGCGGCTAGGGCAGGCCTCGCTCCCTCACCATGGTTGCGCCGGCCTGGTCCTCGGGCGTGCAGCCTCCGTCCTGGATGCGGCGGCGGGCCGGACCGGAGCCCGCCCCCAGGCTGAGCCGGCGCGGAGGCTCCAGGAGGCTCCGGCGAGCGGCGGCTCCGGGCTTGGCCCAGGCCTCGGCCTCTTTCCCTCAAAAGGTAGAAGTGCAGCAACCAAAGCCGCAGCCGCAGCCGCAGCCCGAACCGGAGTGCAGACTCCGCCCCCGCGAGGACCCGCCCAGGCGCGGGAGCCCGAGCTTGGCCCCGCCTCCACTCTCAATACGCAGACTCAGCCGAGGGGTCCGCCCCCCCAGCCCGACCTCGAGCTTCTCCCCTTCTCCGGCTCTTAAAGGAGCCACACACCCCCAAATCCTAGCTTCCCTTCAAAATATGAAGAGCTTTAAATATTACATCATGACAAGAGATTACAGCACCTCTCGCTTCCGTCACCTATAGACCCCTCTGTCACTCACCATCATTCTTTAAGATTTGGGCTTCTAGTACACTGTTATTCATTACTACTATTGTCATAATTCTCGGTGATTTCAACATTCGCTTAATTCTTCCAATCTTCTGGCCTCTCAGAGTCTTCTGTAGGAATCATTCTTGGCTCAGCCCCTCACTCTCATGCTCAAACGAATAACTCCTTTACAATCTCAATTTTAATCCTCTAACTCCCATCACAACCTTCTTCCTTTCTAGTTCACTCTCTCTGATAATACTCCAACTCCAAAAACTTCAACCCCAAGACCCCAAATCCATTGATCCAGCTACCTTTCGCTATTCTTCCCCATACTGTCCTCATGTACTCACTATGTTTCTGAAACAGCTTAGATTCTATTGTCCATCATGAAATGGAATCTAATAACATCTAAGCTGTTTCAGGAAGAACATGAGTACATGAGGTACATGAAGTCGATTTCTTCAGTATTACCTTCATTTATCCAGTCTTTCTCTGCTTTCTTTGTACTGATGAAAGTCCAGCAGTGGAGTGGGTGAAGAAAAAGCCAAAAGTGGTTGACTGACTCCCGGTAAATTTGAGATCATTATTCCCAAGGGGCCATCATGCGTGGCTACACTACCACATTTCTCCAGTTTCACACACTCTCCCACCTTGCTACATAACTATTTCAAGTCTCCTGTCTCTTAAAACCTCCAACACTTCCTTCCTCATCCTCATTTAGCTGATGATTTTGCTTCCAATTCACGGGAAAATGAAGCAAACCAAAAAGAACATCTACCAGTTCTCAGCACTCACCATGACTTTCAACTAATCTGTATCTCTGCTTTGACACTCTTTCTGCCTTCCTTTCCTTACCTACAAGTGAATTATTCATCTTTTAGCTAACGTCAAACCCTCCTTAGTTCTCAAGAATCTGTGCTAAAAGACCCAGGTTTTATCACCGATCACAAACCTAAATTTCTGTAAATCACGATCAAAATTAATTGCTAGAAAAAAATTAAAATTTAAAAACAAGCATCCAAAATGAAAGCCGAGGTTTTTTAAAACTGGCTTAACCATTTTAAAGTGTACAGTTCAGTGGTACTGAATACATTCACATTGTTGTGCAACCATCCCCATCAAGAAGCTCCAGAACTTTTTCTTTTTCACTTTTTTATTTATTTATTTGCCCTGTCACCCATCAGAAATACAGTGGCACAATCACGGCTCACTCAGCCTCAAACTCCTGGGCTCAAGCGATCCTCCCACCTCAGCCTCTGTAGCAGCTAGGACTATAGGCACATACCACCATGCCTGGCTACTTTTTTTTTTTTAATGTAGAGACAGGGTCTCACTGTGCTGCCCAGGCTTGTCTCAAACTCCTAGGTTCAAGTAATCCTTCTGCCATAGACTTAAAGTGCTGGGATTATAAACGTGAGCCAATGTGCCTGGCCTCCAGAACTTTTTTATCTTCCAAAGCTGAAAGCTTGTACTCAAACTTCCCATTCCTAACTTGCCACAATTCCTGGCCATCACTGTTCTGCTTTCTATCTCTATGAATTTGATTACTCTAGGCAGAATTTATATTATTAAATCCAACACACACACACTTTTTCTGTCAAATTGTTATAAAAGTTTCAAAATACTAATTCTTAATTACTGTCACAAACTGGTCACTACTAGACAGTCACTACTCTACTCATCACACTTTGAGAAGCTCAAGAACTATGTCTTATACCATGTCACTATCTCAAAGACACTTATCCAGCAATTCTTCCTCTCTCCTACATCACTATTTTTCTATTACTTCTCATTGCTACAGCAACATGTATTTATTTCTTCCATTTCAAAACAATCAAACAAAAAACCCTCTCTTGGCTGGGCGAGGTGGCTCACGCCTGTAATTCTAGCACTTTGGGAGGCCAAGAAAGGCAGCTCACAAGGTCAAGAGATCGAGACCATCCCAGCCAACATGGTGAAACCATGTCTCTACTAAAAACATAAAAATTAGCAGGACATAGTGGTATACACCTGTAGTACCAGCTACTCGGGAGGCTGAGGCAGGAGAATCACTTGAACCCAGGAGGTAGAGGTTGCAGTGAGTCAAGATCATGCCTCTGCACTCCAGCCTGGTGACAGAGTGAGACTCCATCTCAAACAAACAAACCAAAAAAACCCTCTCTTGACTGGACTTGATCTCCCTGTCCGCAAACCACTGCCCTATTTCTCCATTCTCTTTTCTGCAAAATGCCTCACAAAGGTGGCTTGTACATGGTCTCACTCTGTTGCTCAGGCTGGAGTACAGTGGTGCCATCTCTGCTCACTTCAGCCTCCCAAGTAGCTGGGGCTACAGTCGTGTGCCAGCACGTCTAACTAATTTTTGTATTTTTTGTAGAGATGGGGTTCATCATGTTGCCCAGGCTGTTCTCGAACTCCTGAGCTCAGGCAATCCACCTGCCTCCACCTCCCAAAATGCTAAGGTAACAGGCATGAACCACCTCACCTGGCCTTGACTTCCTTTTTTTCATTTTCAGTGAGATTCTCTCCAGTTAAGCTTTTACCTTCTCCACTCCACTGAAGTGCTCTTGTCAAGGTCACTAGAGATGTCCATTTGCTGACACCAGTCAATTCAGAATCCTCGTGTTACCTGACCTACCACATCACTAGACACAACTCATTACTTCCCCCTCCTTCGCTACCATGACATTCCACTCCCATGGGTCTTCTATCTCACTGGCTACTCCTGGTTCTCCTCATTTCTCTGACCTCTAAATACTGTAGTGCCCCACGGCTCAATATTTAGACTTTTTATCTTTTCCATGTACACTCCTTGATAATCTTATTCCATCACATTACTTAAATATTATCTATGCTGTGATAGCCTCAAAATTATATCTCCATGCTGAATTCATACTTACATATCTAACTGCCAGCTAAACATCTCCCCTCATATGTAGAATAAACTATGATTTTTCTTAGTAGTTACTCAATAGACTTCCCCTCAAGTACTGTGGATAAGCCAATAAATACCAAAGAAAATACGACCACCAATATTAGCTTAGACCAATCACCATTTACTCTCTGTCAGATCTGTGAGTTACTTTCCCTGAGGACTTGCTGGTAGTGGAGGAAAATCACCATAAAAAATTAGAGTTCTGGCCGGGCGCAGTGGCTCACGCATGTAATCCTAGCACTTTGGGAGGCTGAGGCAGGTGGATCACGAGGCCAAGAGATCAAGACCATCCTGGCCAACATGGTGAAACCCCATCTCTGCTAAAAAATAAAAAAATTAGCTGGGCTTGGTGTCATGTGCCTGTAGTCCCAGCTACTCTGGAGGCTGAGGCAGGAGAATTGCTTGAACCCAGGAGGCGGAGGTTGCAGTGAGCTGAGATTGGCGACAGAGCAAGACTCTGTCTCAAAAAAAAAAATTAGAGTTCTAGGCTGGGTGAGGTGGCTTACGCCTAAAATTTCAGCACTTTGGGAGGTGGAGGCAGGCCAATCACAAGGTCAGGAGATCAATACCAACTTGGCCAACATGGTAAAACCCCGTCTCTACTAAAAATACACACAAAAAATTAGCCAGGCATAGTGGCACATGCCTGTAGTTCCAGTTACTTGGGAGGCTGAAGCAGGAGAATTGCTCCTGACAGGTGGAGGTTACAGTGTGCTATTACAGTCCAACCTGTGCCCTGGAATTTGAGACCAGCTTTGGCAACATAGCAACACCTTGTATCCATTCCAAAAAAATTTTTTTTGGTTAAGTATCATCTTTAAAAGAACTACCCCTGGTGGGTTGGCTGACTATATAGAGCCAGGCAGTAGTAGACACAGGGATTTTTTTCAGGGCTGATAGTAACAACCCAGATACTAACTAACAATCCCTCACAAAGTCACAGCAGTTTGTTGTTATTGTTTTTGAGACAGGGTCTCTGTTGCCCAGGCTGAAGTGCAGTGGTGCCATCACAGCTCACTGTGATCCTCCCACCTTAGCCTCCCTAGTAGCTGGGACTATAGGCACGTGCCACCACACCCAGCTATTTTTTTTTTTTTTTAATTTTTTGTAGAGAAGAGGTCGTGATTTGTTGCCCAGGCTGGTCTGGAACTCTTGGGCTCAAGCAATCCTCTTGTCTTGGCCTCACAAAGTGCCAGAATTATAGGCTTGAGCCCAGATGTTCCAGACCAGCCTGGGCAACACGGCAAAAATCCATCTCTATAAAAATTAGCTGGGTGTAGTGGCTTGCACTGTAGTCCCAGCTACTTGGGAGGCTGGAACACAAGGACTGCTTCAGCCAGGGAGCCAAGATCGTGCCCCTGCACTCCAGCCTAGGTGATGGAGTGAGACCCTGTCTCAAAAAACAAACAACAACAACAAAACAACAGCAAAGACTAAGGAGCACTGTACCAGGAGTTGGGATTGAATTCTAGTCCCTGGCTCTGACACCAGAGCCACTAGAGTTATGATTTGATGACCTTTAGGCTATTTGGAACCCTGAGATGCTGAGGCCTTGGGCAAACTTTTCCTCTCCCTGTGGAGAAAGGGGCTAGGTTTGATCATCTGTAAAATGGCCTGGTGGGTAAGTGGTCAGGAGGGATGAACTTCAAGCTCTCTACCAGTTCTAACATTCTGGCTCTGTATTTAATCTCTGTCATCCAGGATGGAGTATAGTGGCATGAACTCAGCTCACTGCAACCTCCAATTCCTGGGTTCAAGCGATCTTTCCACCTCAGCTTCCTAAGAAGCCAGGACTACAGGCATGTGTCACCACCCTCCGCTAATTTTTATCTTTTTGGTAGAGACAGGGTTTCACCATGTTGGCCAGGCTGGTCTCGAA